GATGGAGGAGCAGTCCTTGTTGAACTCGTACTTGGGGACGTACTGCTTCAACTCCCTCTTTTTCTTTTGGGACAACTGACCAGAATGGTCCGTCGCCCATACTTCTTTTCTGTTCTTGCTCTCTTCTTTTTTGGTCGGCTGAGCAGACTGGCTCTCCTTCCTATCGGACCTTTTAGGGTTCGACGAGTGCTTGATGGCACATAGCTCCGTCGCCTATATATAGGCTTCGGCTTCCATCAACACCTCTTGAAGGGTAGCAACCCTCTTTCTGACCAGGTCGAACTTAAAGGTCGACCCGTCCTTCAGACCTTTGAAGAAGTCTGTATAAGCAACTTTGTCAGACAGCCCTTGTATCTGAATTCTCATCAGATAGAACCGCCTGACATAGGACCTTAGTCCCTCCTTATCTCCCTGCTGAATAGCCCCCAAGTCAAGACTTTTCTTTTTGGTGGGGATGTTCATGGAGAAGTTGGACGCGAACAGGTATGCCAGCGTCTTGAAGTTGTTGATGCATCCGACTGGCAGATTACCAAACCACTATTGGGGCTATGCCCTTCAATGTTGCCGGGAAGCAACGGCTTCAGGTGGCATCATCCAACCCCTGTAAATACATGAGGTTGGTGTAGGCCCTTAGGTGGTCTTCCGGGTTGGTGGTACCGTCATAGGTACCAACCAACACATTCTTAACCTTGGCCGGCTGAGCCACCTCGGTCATCTCCATGAAGAATGCCGATGTCTATTCCCCAAGGTTAAGCAGCCGGAGCTGCCAGTCCATGGGCTGGACCTGCTGTGCCGCCTGACTCCCAAAGAGGGTCGGTTGCATGTATGGTAATCCATATGGCATGTATGGCTGTTAAGGCACATACGGAGCCAGCTGGATTATCTGAGGGCCAATGCGTGCAAACATGCCGCGTGACTGACTCTCTCGATTTGTCTCTGAACACTTCATTGAAATATTACAAAAACTGTCTGGGTAAGTCGACGTCGAGGCCGACTCAGACATTTGTTGACGTCTCTTCTCCTGGATGAACATCCGGGCGTCCAAGTAAGTCTTTTTTGACCCATCCGGCTGAACTTGCCGGATGGCCTTCCTTTGCCCTGATTCAGGGAAACGAAGTTTGGATAGGTCGATCAGAGGCCCATCCGCCCCCTTTGGTTTAGGGTGACGGGTTGGCACCCGATCTTTGATGTGCTTCTTCCCGGAGGGAGAAGGCTTCTTGGCAGACTGACCCTTGTTGGTGCCAATTAACTTTTTGATTATGTCCTTGATCTCCCCTTTAAAACTCGTTATGAATTTCATGAGTTCCTCTCTGGTGACGGGGGCAGTACCCTCCGCCGTCTAGGGTCGCCCAGCCGGCTTGCCGGCTGGGCTGCTGGGACCAGCTTTGTTTTTGCCCTATTCCCTTGTTTCTTTGGAACGGGTGCGTCTCGTTCGGAATGACCCGTCTAGGACCACGTAGGTATCAACCTCAAAGTCGTCACCACTATCTTGGTCTGTATGGACCTCAGGCTCGGCCATAGGCCGCTTGCCCTCAACAGGCGGTACAGAGTCGGATGCCATCTTAGAAGTACTCTCCCCACAGACGGCGCCAAATGTTTCCGGGTTTTTGGAGTCCCTCGGGAGAGTTACAATTCCAAGAATGCGCGTCGACAGTCTGTACTAGCAAAACCACAAAACTCCGGTTGAGTGGAGTTCTGCTTCCGACAATCAAGTTAAAACGTTTTCGGATGTAATAAAGGGCAGAATGTAAATGTTTTTCTCTCTAATTCAGAGAGAATTTTGCAATTAATATCGCTCGATTTTTTTTTGTATGTATTTATGAATATTTGTCAATGTGTAATAAATGAGGATTTTCCTCAATTTATAGTGCAAGGGGATCAGTTCACCTTTTAGGGTTAAAGTGCCACGTGTCAGCAGAGGATTGGATCCCGTTGGGCCTTTCTGAGGCTGACACGTGTCAGCATGCCATTGGGCCACGTGGACAGGGTATTTTTACCCTAAACATCAGTCATGTTGCTAGTGAGCCATGCTATCACCATGTTGTTACATGTATCCCATTGATCAGCCTTTGTATCATCAAATGTGTCTTTCTTCACCAGTCCTGTAACAAATTCCAGTTTCCTCTTAGAAGCAAGGTTAATCTCCATCGATCATCTCCATTCTCTATAGTTGCCTTCACCAGGCAACTTCTCAATCGATATAGAATGTTGCCCATCTCCAGGATGGAGATACAGGGGATTTTGCATATCAGCTAGAGAAATCTTTGATATATCTAGTGTAAAGTTTCAACTTTTGTGAAAAGGAAGGGAAAATACAAAAAAATATGGCAGAAAGATTTAATCTTTATGTTGAAACAAGTGAAGGGAAAAAGACTTGAGCACGAACTTTCACTCGTTGCTTGCTGATTTGAACCCCTGCTCTGATACCATGAAGACAAATGAGTCTCGATATTGGAAGCAACATCAAGAACAATTAAGGAGAAAGTTTATGGCGGCTCAGAATATTATATGTATTATTCCCTTCAAATACACCCTCTGTACATATACATACTCCTAGGAATCAATCCCTAGAATGATCTGACCTAGTGACTCATCTATTACAGCTGCACTACAGGACAATAGACACTACAAGACCAGCAATGTATCATATGGTAGCTAATACACATATCTTCATCACATTTAGTATGGGGGAGTTTGGTATTAGCAGCATAATGATTGGTATAGCCAAATCGCGAATCCGATTGTGCATTCGCTACCATCGACGACAAAAGCACCACCAAGACGCCATAAAACACAACGCCACATCCATGACGCCACAACCAAAACCACCACCAGAGTGATGCGTCTGATGCCCCTGTTGTTGGAAACCACTAGGAAGAAGGCGTCAGCGTGCACCCAAGTACGAAGTCTATTTTTATATTGATATTTTTCAAAGAATGGAGATTTCAGAAGTTTTAATAGAGAAATTGAAGCTCAAAGGGCATTGTTATTGAAGGTGGATAACACATTTTCCATTTAGGGTTAACATGCCCTTAATTTCACCCTTTTATCATAGGAGTTCATTTAATTTGTCGGTGAGTCTGCCGTGATGTCATCTGTTGGAAGGTGGAGACAAAAAAGATGACGTCGATGGAAGGTGGAGATAATGCAGATGGCGTCGGAAATGGAGTAAACGGTGGAAGATGGGTAAAGATTGGGGAAGGTGGGTGGTGTCGATGGAAGGTTCAATGGAGGATTAATGTCCAATGATGACATATCTGAATAACAATACATAAAACGTAAAATTGAGAAATAAAGTAGAAAACGAATGAGATGAACACATAGGGTAAGAATAGCTAGTATTTTCTTTTTAGTTTTCGTGGAGGATAAACAAGAGATTAGATATAACAAAGAGATACAACGAATGCTCTCCATCTCACAAAATATCTCAATTGGAGTTACATATCGGCTTGAATTGACTAGGCTATTCATTATGAGCACTACAATTTTCTACCGAAACGGTTCCTTATATAATATAAGGAAACCCTAAATTATTCCACAAAATATCATAAGCGTACCCGAAATTAGGACATTCCAAAAAGTTTGTGTAGCTTCAAACCAACTAAAAAAATACCTCACTCGACCAGGCACGGACGTGCCATGCAAAGCACGCCCTTGCCCCTTCCAAAAGGCCAAAGATAACTGGAATTTCCTACGGACTCGATAAATGTTTGTAACTCCCCTTTTTCGGCTTTATGACCGATAGAAATTGTATGTACTGAAATTGCAACTTTTTAAAATCACATTTATCTCTATTTGCCTGGGAGCTTAATATGATAATAACATAAGGATTTAAGGAGGGAGAAGGGAAAGAATATGATTAGGGAGGGAAGAATGTACGCCCATGGAGTCATGGTTACGAAAACTTCCTGTATGCCTACAGTGTCTAAAGTCAGAGATTCTCAAGGAACAACTTGGGTTAAGCTCGGCCTAATTAAGTTCGTTTATGTTTGTTTTTTAAATAATTATGCCAGACTTGGAAAGTTATGAAAGTGTGTTAATAAATGAACTTGAATGTGAGCAAAGGTACGTATACTCGTTAATATAAATTCATAAACCATTTGTTTAGTTAAATTCATGAGCTAATCGTTTAGTTAGTTATGTCATTAATCTAGCATTACAATTTTTTTTTCCTATTGAATGTCACAAGCTAAAGTAACGTGACATTTTCATTTTCGATTTTTATTTTTTTACAATGAGTTGCTAGTTTAAGATAAAAAGCGAGCATTGTTTTAGTAAGTTTTTTTTTTTTTTTTTTTTTTTTTTTTTTTTTTTTTTTTTTTTTTTTGGTGCACAATATTAGGAAGGTTATTATTGTGAGTGACTTAGGAATACTACGAAGATGACACTTATTATTCTCCTTACTTTAATAATGCAAGTCGAGTTAGCAACTAATCAGATAACTTTCTTCAAAGATAGCTTCCTTAATTAAGTAAGATAAACCAACTCTATTTGAAGTCTATTTGCTTGTGTGGAATGATGTAATTTCTTTAACTTTCCATCATCGCATTTAAAGTTGACACATGTCATTCTAGCATAGATCGACACGACATGTTAGAATTGGTTGAATGACACTTTAAATATGTCTAACATGTGTCATGATCAACTTATTGCCACGACCTACAAGTATATCGATTTTAGTTCGTGCCACGAGTAACCACCAAAGTGGTCCGCATATCTCCACATACTAGGCTACTTCCGCTGGTGCCTCCATATATATAATTGGAAAATGTGGCAATGTTCATTACTTGTACAGCAACAATGTACACATTTACATGCATAAATTGTGCCATTCATCATTCTCTTTTGTACTTAAATGTACCTCCCAAAAAGCCAATATCATCACATTTTAATTGAATATCAAGATAGATAAACATATTTAAATTGTAATGCACCAAAAGTTGCGGAAAATATAATTATAAATATAAAGCATAAAGTTGTACATGAGTATATCTTACACGCACGGAACACGTTTAAATAACATGTTACGTTTCATTGTTCTCTTTAGCTATGAGCCGTCAAAATATCCACGTGACAAACACATGAATCATCATCCCTAAATGTTTCTTAATTTTATAAATGTGAATCATCGTCACATCTTAGCTACCACCATATCCGCATGTCTCTTTTTTCTTTTTCTCCCTTGAGAAATTATTACATGACAAAATTTATATTTATCGAAACTATAGTTTATATAATATATAATTATATATGATATATATTTAGTACGTCATTTTCCCGTACTTCATGTTATTATTGAACCCTAAAGTAAGGTCTAATTGCACCTCATTGTCACCATCTATTTGACCAGATACCGATCCTTCGGTTGACTCATTAGAAAACATACTGAGCTTTTCAAAACTTTGAACATCACCACTAGCATCATTACCATTACCACCATTTATTGAAAGCTGGTCAGCCTGAAAAGTGGGGGCACGAGGCCCTCGAGGGCGTCGCTTGAGGCGGGGCCCAGTAGGGACAACGAATGTAGCAGGTACGGTAGGAGAGTCCTTAGAGGACGACATGTGGCGAATATCGTAGAGCTTGAGAGGAGGCAGATGAAGGACTTGCTGAGGTGGAAGAGGAGGACCATCGGATGAAATAGCATGATTATTAGACGGAGGAGAAAGTTGCATGATAGGCAGACCCTTGAGAACAGCATCAACGGCAAGCTGACAGTGGCGCCACTGACCAGAGTATAATAAACCAACTGAGCCATATATTGGGTCTACCACCCTCCCACATGCCTCGTATAACAATGACTGGAATATTGCTGCCAATTTCAACCAACCTTTTATTAGTCAGTGTACCTACATGGTACTGTACGTTTTATTTCTTCCTTCTTTTTTATTTTTCGACATTTAAGAACTCCGTATCAAAATGAACGAATTATGTTCTAAAATCCCCTTCATGAGGAGGGCTTCACCCTTTAAACAATAGTAACAAGATGACTTACCATTTATTATAAGTGTAACAGAGATCAAGCAAAAGAATAATCATCTTAAATATGTAATCCCTACTTTTACTTATCTCAATCCCCTAATTGTCCTTATAGCGGCCCTAATAATCAATTATTTTAAATTCATTAATACGGTCTATCTGATATTTTTTTAGTTTTACTCACGATTCGCGTTTTTTTTTTGTATATGTTATTAGACCAATTTAACCAAAAACTTAAGCTGATGGTTGAAGCTAGGAATATGTTTTATAATCTATCATTATCGATTGTGATTTACTCATGTTAGGAAAAAGATTAATCAAAGTGCGTAAAATACCAAAACAAAATACAAAATAGAGAGAGTAATGATTTAATTTTCATAAACCATGGAAAATGATTTTCAGAGAAAATTAGCTAGAAATAGTTTTATAAGGTGGAATTGTGGAAAAAATGACCTGAACATTAAAATTAACCTTAATCACCCAAGACACATCATGACAGTGCAGATTTTCATAGCTTTTATTTTTAATTAATCAGTTGAAGCTATTTATTAATTATATTAACGACAAGTAGATAGGATTATATTCCGTACCAACTTAAAAAAAAAACACACACGGTAAAAAATTGTGTAGTATTTAAGAAAATAAACACACTGTATATCCAGTTTAAACAAATAAAATAAATACTGTATTCCGTAAATAAGATATAGAATTACTAGCCAGACAAACTGGTTGGTAAAACACTCCGTACGGTAGCATTGAAATGCATGACTCAGATCAATTAATTCCAACCCTCTTAAACTAAGAATTACAACAATATATCTGTTTTTTTTTCTAAAAAAAAAATGTTTTGCATCGCTCTTGCATCTGAGGAGCTAAAAGTGAAAACAATATGTGAAATAAAACATTAATAACATTTACACCAGCCGGTGGGTGAATTTGTCATTTTTTCAAATGGCTAAATTAAACTAATTCAATAGAAATATTAAATCCTTTTTGTAGCCTTACCCTTTTTTAGATGGAAAAATTCATAATAGTTTTTTCATGTAGATCACAATGAATTATCACTATTTTTTTTAATGATTAACACATTAAAATAATTTGATATTTGAAAAATATTAATCAAAACGAAATCCATAACATTTCGTATAACTATATATTCCTTAACTATAAATACAGAGTACTTACAATTATATATTAGTAAAAATTATGAAAATTAGATATTAAGAAACTACAAGTTATAAGAATCAGATTAAATGAGATCTCATACGATAATGTTTTTTCTTATATATCAATGAAAATGGTGGTCAAAGTTATAAAAAGTTTGACTCCCAACAATAACGCCAAATGGAGTAAATTGTTTCAACTTTATGTTATTAGAATTTACTGTGGAAATTCACAAGTGATTCCTCAAAATGTTGGAATTATTTTCCAACTCCTAAAACTATTGGATTGCACAGAAATTGATGAGTAAACTTGACAGAGTATAGGCTAAAATTTTGCAATTTGGAAATAGAAAAAGCATTTATATTAACATAGCGAATATAGATCCATTTTTGGAAAAATTACCTTATTAAGATTAGATTTCCAGGAGATTCTGTCCTAGTACCTATCAAAGTCTGACACTAATATATAAAGATAAAATAGTACTATATCTGTCTAAGTGTAATTGTCACACTCAACTTATCACATAATTAAGGACTAATTACAATAACATTAAATTCTTCAATTGCAACAGAAATAAATAAATAAAATAATAAAATAATCATTTTCCTTGGGTTGCATATATATAATGGATTCATGGACCCTATTTTTTTTGGGTTTTTGTCCAAAATGTTACCACGGTTAAAAACAGAAGTTTAACTAATAACTTTACTATTAAAGTATTAATTTTCCCCTTGAATAGACACGATAATAATTTTATTTTTAAATAAAAATAATAATTTTATCGATTATTTCTTAAGAAAAGGATCTCATACAATTTTCTATGAGTAATTTTTAGTGACACTTAAATATTAGAAGATGCGCTTAATTTTTTAAGCAGATTAACAAAGAGCATTTCTTGTATATAAAATTAAGGTTGGACACATTGATTTCGGTACAAAAATTGCACTATTAGTGTATCACTCTAATGAATCTTATTCCCACACCTTCCAAACACGGGAAGAGATTATATACATTCGGGTGTATATAAGAATTTATACAAAAAAAATTTTATTCAAATCTCCCTTAACACCTTTATTTTTTACTTCCGCCCCCTAAGTGACTTAGGAGGCAAAAACACACGGAAAAATAAAAAATCATAATCGATATGAACTCAACAACTCTGATCAAACATGCATGTAACAAAAACAAAAGAAAAGCATTGAAAATTTTACCGGGGCGAAGGTGCTCGGCGCCAGCATTGAGGAGGTTGAGAAGACCGGCACGGCCATAAAATTTAGCAAGGAAAAGAGTAGCATTGGATTGGGCATCACCAGACATCATCCAATTAAGGCAAGGGCGAATGACGCAATCGTCGTTACAACCTTTGCGGAGAATTCTACACCCATTGCAGCTAGTTCTCATGATTGTTGGATGTTTACACAAGAGAGAAGTAAGAAAAGAGAGATTATGTAAACAACAAGAATGAATGAAGCAAAAGATGAAAGAGAGAATATAGTATTTATAAGCAACGAAAAAAAATGTGAAGGGTTTAAGGAAGTGAGATTTGCGTGGTTTTAGTTTAAGGCTCATAGCCCACAGGAAGAATAATGTGCTTTTGTGGAAGAAAACCTGGATTAAAAAGTCTTGAAGCTTTACTAGTTTTTGGTTGTTTGCTAAAAAAATTTCTTTTCTCATTGTGCTCATTTGGAAAGTTTTAACGATTGTCTACCTTCCAACTTCCAAGTGTACAAGCCTCAATGTTGGGAGGATTGTCTTTCTATTTAATTGCCCTTCATTTTTTAATATTATTACATGGTACAACTTTGTGTGTATAGTACTGTACTATTACTACTATAGTCTGTCATCTTCTTGTGCAACCTTCTTACCTAAATAGTTGGGTTTTTTTTATTTATTTTATTATTATTTTTTTATGAATAGTTGGTCATTTTACATGTACCTAAATATAAAATGATAATTCTTATAATTTAAAAATATGAATTTCAGATGAATATTTCCTCGTTTTTTTTTATACACTTTGACTTTTACACTATTCATAAATTATACTTTGACTAGCTTTTAAGATTTATAGCTACGATAAAGCATGATCATGTGGGATCTACTTTGAATCTTCTCAATGTAAATTAAATTTTATTAATATTCACTTTTTATAATTTTACAATATTGATAATTAGAGATACTTTGTTTAAATTGTGTGTTAGCAAGCATAATAAAGAGAAACGTGTCAATTAAAAAACGGAGATAGTATAACATTGGTATAGTGAAAACGTAAATATTTAATGAATAAATTTGCTACTAGTTAGATTTGTGTAAAAAAAATATATAAAAGGGTGAATTGTTCAGTATTATCATCTATTTTTCAATTCATACCAAAACAGTTAATTACACATTTATTTTTGAATTGGAAATCATTATTAATTAAGAAATCTACCCCGAAATCACATAAGATTTGAATCATGATTAATTAATAATGGCGAATACGCTAAAAATTTTTAATTATTTTCTTTGATACCAGCTTCTATTGTATTACTGTATACTGTAAACAAATATTACGTGTGACATATTGTGATGTGCTTATCTTGTGTCATTCCTAGGATCCAATCTTATCTAATATTTACTACTAGTCGTATTGTTAACAATAACATCTTTACTGAAAAGCAGGATACAACATGATTTAAGTGTAGTGGTTTGTTACACTTATGTCACACATAGGGGTGGGACTTTTCAAACCGAACCGTGAAACCGCCCGTTACCGAACCGAACCATTACGGACCGATCCGTTTATAAACCGATAAATATAAACCGAAAACCGAACTGAACTGTTCAATATCAAACCGAAACCGAATTGAACCGCTCAATGTCAACCCGTTACGGACCGTAAACCGATAACAAACCAAACTGCGCAAATCCGAACCGAAACGAAACCGAACCGAATGGTTTATAAACCCGTTAATGACCCGAACCGTTTATAAGCCGAAACCGTTTAAACCGAAAAAAAAAACCGTTTAAACCGAACCATTTGTAACCCGCTAACCGTTTAAACCGACCCGTTTATGAACCGAAACCGTTTAAACTGACCCGTTAATGACTTAATGAGTTAATGCACATCAATACCTGACATCTCTATAGTTTATATGTATATTATATATATCTGTGAGTCTGTGACTGTATATCAGTATATATAATAAACTAATAATAACTTAATAAGTAATAATACTAATAACTAATAAAGTAATGAAAATCTAACCATTGTTTTTCATGGGCATTCAATCTAACCGTTGTATATTTGACTATTCGTACATTAGTATTGCATAATGATTTCATCACCACTTTAATTAGTGATTTCGTGATTTCGTCCATTTAACTTATTAAGTTGTTTGAGTTAGTAATCTAAATAAAGTAACAAACTAAATAACGAATCCATTTAATCTCGTGTAAGTTATAATTTATAAGAAATGCAATGTTTGGAAATGAAAATTGATTCAATACGATATTGTTAATGTATATGTAATTATAGATTAATTATTATGTATATCATATCGTACGAATGTACGGTTGGTATCATTATCATACTATCATAAGTATCATTGCCTCGTTGAATTATTGGTATGTACTACAATCGATAAACATATTTACATATCTGATTATTAAAACTTAAAAGTTTAAAACACTTGTTGATCAATCTAATTGAATACTTGTACATTCTTAATTATCGATTTATCGTATTATAAGTATCAACTCATTAAATGGCCATGACGCGATCTTTAAAACAATCATGAATTCATGACCCAAACCGCTTATAAACCGAACCGACATGATCCAAACCGTTCATAAACCGAACCAATTGAACTGTGTAAACCCTCTACTAAACCGGCCCATTTCAAACTGAACTGACATGATTCGCACCGTTTATAAAACGAACCGATATTGACCCGGGTAAATCCGCCCCTAAACCGACCCATTTCAAACCAGACCGGCTTGATCCAAACCGTTTGTAAACCGAACTGACATTGACCCGGGTAAACCCGCCCCTTAAACCGACCCGTATCAAACCGAACCGACATAATCCGAATCGTTTATAAACCGACCCGCTTATGACCCAAACCGAATTTAAACCGCAAAGAAATAAACCGAATCCAAACCGAGCCGTGACTAACCCAAACCGAACCAAACCGACCCACCAGCTAAACTAAACCGTTTTAATTCGAACCGCTCCAAACCGAAACCGACTCAAACCGAGGTCAAACCGAACCGCCAGACCGAAATCCCACCCCTAGTCACACATAAAGTATCAATTAAGTAATATTTTGAGTTGCTTTACTTTATTTCCGGTGTCTTTCAATTCTTAAATTTCTTATAAAAAATATACACACCGATAAGCATATTGTGGGACCCAAAATTGAGCCCCCCAATGGCGTATGTCCTTCCAGCCTGTCTGTGTAGCGTACATGCCTTAATTTTCTTAATTTCACCACTCTTTGAGCGTATGCCTTTGAGTCGTACTAATTTTTTTATATTTCAAAATAGTCATTGAATTTACAATTAGATAAATTAGAAACTCGTTTAATAGATCCAACATAACTCCAAACTATATAGTGAACCCAAAAGTTACATATTTCGAAACTTCTTTGATACCATTCAACATTTAGACCCTAATTAAAAATGGTTTGAACTAAGTAAGTTGGTTTTGATTAGTAATATAATGATGCGGTTCAAAGGCATCATGATCGAAATTTCAATTGTTTTCTTTAATTTGCTTGAGTTGTCTATTTCTTTGAGATTGAATGGCATCAATTTCGAAGTTACGCATGGTTAATAGAATTAGTTTTTATCTAGGATTAGATTAGGAGTTTGTTTTATCATTTTATAAAATATATATAATTAGGATACTCTTATTTTTAAGATTTTTTTTTTAAATTTTCCTATCAGACATGGGATTGTATGCCTATAAATATATTATTTAATTTTATTACTAATTTTTAGATTTGAGTTTATGATAAAACTGATTCCTTGTACATTGAGACATTTTAGGAGAGAATTAAACTGCGCCAGGAAGAAAAAACAAACCAATCTAGCTGTTATCACCCGTGGTTAGAATTGAAAATATCGTCAAGAAAAAAAGAGTAGTGGAATTTATTTCACGCTGGGTATGAGGAGACCCAAGCCGCATCCATATTTCAAGCCCAATGGTCTCTCATGTGAAGGGGGCGTGATAGAGTAATTAAACCGATCCTAGGCTTCAACCATTAGCAAAAACTTTTAGTTGAGATGATCCTTTAACATGGTATCAGAATCAACGTGACACAAAGGTCACGAGCTCAAATCTCATCCATCCCCACTTTCAAGTTGTAGACACCTGATTGTGTCCCCCCAAAAACCAAACCTCGTGATGAGTATTTCATGTCTTTGATTAACAAGTTTGGTAAAGAGTTGAAGAGTCTCGTTAAATTTCCTTAAGCCTTAACCATATTCCTAACCTTTCTTTACATGTTTTAATCCAAAATCATTCATTTCGTGCCTTTAAACCCAAAATCATTCATTTTATGTCCTTAAAATTATTCATTTTATGTCCAAATCATAAAAATGCAAAACAGATTATTTTGTTCCATAATCTCGGGCCAATTATTATTTAGTTGAATGGGGCTTGAAAAGAGTTTTTCAACGATATATTATTAGCCCAAATCCGACTTGAAACGAATAAGTTATGGCCAAAAAACTAAACCAAGCCCAAACCGAGCCTAGGTCCACCTTAACTACGGCCCAATGATTATATGAGTGTCCAAATATTTTCCTAAATCAGTTAGAAACTTCTAGAATACTCTAGAAGGTTCTAATTTATCCATTCCAATAAGATAAAGATCAAAAGAGTTCGAAGCTGAATAAAACTTCTCATACGATAGTCCTTATCCCATTCAAAATCAAAGACGTTCGGATATATTTCACAATCATAATCCCATTAGAAGTCAAACTCCGTGTGACTATATTATCTTCAAAAATCATCGCAGGATGACAAAACAACGAGCCACGTCATCCCTATCACGCCGCAACAAAGGCTGGCGCGCCGTGATAATTTTGTCGCCCCGCGATAGAGAAGTTCTATCTCGTCGAGAATTTCTGATCTTTTCTGATAGTCCAGACTCTCTTTTTTTCCTATAAATAGAGGTTGTTTTCCCCGTTCCAGATCATGGACAATAGTCATTAATTACAATTAACAATTATTAATAATCCTTAGCATTAATCATCATTCAAAACACCCATGTTCTTAGCCTTAGCCTAAACACATCCTTGATATTCTCCCAAATCAGTCACAATACCTCCTTCGCGAGATTTGAATACTCCAAGCCATACTCGACGTTGCCTTTGACCTTGACGAAAAAGGTTGATAGTTCTGAGGGTTTGGTCCCAAATCTATATTTCAATTCATATTTGATATATTTACTTTATTGATTTAACTTTCTTGAAGTTTACTAACGTGTGTATTGTTTTAATATCAAGAAGGTTGAGGCATCAAAGTGAGTAATTCAATCACCCTTGTTATTATTCTTTGGTTTTGGAGTAGAAATCATGTTTAGGATGTTATTATGATTTCTAGTATCATGTTTAGGATAACGCTTAGATTTTGTTATTAGTGATATGCTAGGATTTATTATTAATCCGTTTAGTATCATGCTTAGGATCTTATTACTAACGATGTTTTAACAATGTTTTGATGATGATTGTTATATTAATCATATGTTGCTTGATTATCCATGATTTATTGCTATTGCTTGATCACGCCCCTTTTTGCAGGTTTAAAGGGAATTTGTACTTGAAATCACGCCTAATAAGATATTTAATAATTTGATTCAGGCTAATATGGCTTTAATTCTAGTGATCACCAATATTAGATTTGATTGTGCATTAATAATCAGCCAACGTAGATTAAACAAGTTTAGTATTAATTTGATGTATGTATGTTGATCGAAAAGCGCGCATGAATATCAGTAAGAATCAAGTAGAGGCCTATTTAGGTCGGGTTCTCTTAGGTCAAATTCGTACCATCATCCCCGAATATT